TCCCCCGCCTGTGTTAAGTGGTGATCACGATGGCATTAGAGATGATCACATCATATTATTTAAACATGATTTTAAATAGCCGTAACAATGGCCAAGCTCCATCTGCAGACGTTGACCACTGCCCAGCAAAGGGCAGTTGGTTGGCTTACACGATGAGAGCATTGCTGGCACGCAGCCTTGTCCGTCATCCTTGCTTGCTGGAACTCAGCAGCGAGTCTCTCTGAAGGTGACACAGGCTTTGGTGGGTGGGGTGTGGAGGACGGCCTGCTGCACCGCTGGAGGTGGGGCGGAGAGGAGCCCGTTACCAGGGAAGTTTAGGGGCATATGGAAGCAGTGACCCCTTCTGGCCAACCGAGGAATGACATAAATTTGCTAGCAAGGGATGACAGGCGGAGAGATGAACGGCCAGGAAGGTCATGGGGGGAAGAACGGACTAATGAGACTATCTATGATAACTCCTCTCTTCAGTTATTCCCTAAGCAACTGTGTCATCCTATGCCAGTCATCAGAGGGAGGCAGCATAAACATGTGTGTCCAGGGAGGATGTGAGCATGACAATGAACCTTGGCCACTCTCATCTGGAAAGGGCTAGAAGGGAATGGGGTAGTGAGGACCAGCTGTGGAAACCTCAGGGACAATGGGACACGCATCTGAGAATTTTGGAGGTGGCCGATGCTCCTGGTACTGTGAGGCTTGGGGTGCTGGAGGTCAGCAGCCACCCCTCCTCGAGCTGTCTGCCAGGGATTCCTGGAAACACCACCTTTGAAGAGGTGGGCCATCCTGGAGGCTGGTGTGAAACAGAGTCCTCTCCCTGTTCTGTCCTACAGTGGGACAGAACAGACTCAGGCTCAGCTCTTCTCAGTTGCTGACCTGCTCTGTGGTCAAAGACGGTAGCCCCTCCCAGCTCGGATGTGCTCCCCTGCAAAGCAAAGCAAAGCAAAGCAAAGCATGTAGCCCTGCCCAGTTTAGATGTGCTCCCCTGCAAAGTGGGCAGGGTATAGGCTTTGTGGAGAAGACCCGTTGATATTATGGTTTCCAAAGGGCCTGACAGTAGGTGCTCATTATGACTCCCTTGCTAGTCCCGTAGGCCGGTCATTTCAGAGTGTTCTTCAAGCCCCCCATGCCTCCCTGCCTTTGCACACACCATTCCTTCTTCTTGGACAACCTCTCTGTTCCTGGCCCATCTGGTCCACCTGGTCTACTTGGGCACATTCAACTTATTCTTCAGGGCTTGATTCAAGACCTTCCTGGATTGCTGCCCTGATGCCCAGGCAGAGTTAACCACTTCCTCATCTATGCTCCTCTAACGTTGTAGCTATACCAAGTACACTGTGGTACTTACTTATTTGCATAATAACATCATTGCATTCTAAAAATGACAGCAGCTATGAATTGTTGGGCACTTTCTGTCTGCCAGGCACTGAATGGTGAGCGTGCTATGGATGATCTCATTTCAGTCTCACAGTAGTCAGTGAAGGAGGTGCAATTATTATCCTGTTTAAGGATATACTAAAAGGAGGTCTTGGAGAGGATAGGTCACTCACCCAGCATCACTCAGCTGCAGTGGTCCTCCACAAAAGGGCTTGATTTGGGGCATTTGCCAATTTCCATAGTGTAAATATTCCAAGGATGATAATTTTAAACTACTGATGCTTTGATGATGGGCTTGTAATATTCCTGAAAATTTAGCCATAGGCTCTCATGAGCTGGTATGAACCGGCATGAACTGGTTGCAACGTGTCACTGTGACAGCTCTCTCCATCTCCAGGAACTACAGCTGCTCAGGAGCAGGGACTAGATTTTAATAACTCATGACCCCCAGTGCCCTGCACAGTGACTGGAGCTTAGTAGCTGCTAAGTTAATGCTGGTGACACGCGATGGATTTCAGAGCATAGAGGGCAGGGGCAGAGGCTGCCTGGATGAGCACCCCAACAGGACAATGCCTTTCTCCTCCTCTGAGTGGATGTTGTCTGACAGACTCACATTTCAAACTTAGCGCAGGTGCAGTGGATTGTCAGGGGTAGCAGAGGCCTCTGGGCTGGGAACAGATGCCACATCTGGGCATCTGACTGGTGAAGCTTGTGGAGAGTGGGAAACCAGGAGAGGTTCAGCCTCCAGCCTCAGGTCCTGGCTCCCGCCATCCTTCCAGGGCCTGATTCTCCCGGGACAAGTAGAGGGGCTGCTGCATGCCAGGCTGTCATCCTGGTCAGGCCAGGTCAAAACCAAGGCAGGGTCCTCTTTGAATGTATGTGTTTGTGTGTGTGTGCACATGCGGGGGTTGGAGGAGCACGTGGGAAAACCGTGTGAGTGTGTGTGTGTGTGAATGAGAAACTTTTATCTCCACAATAATAAGGGTGTGAGATTCTCTTTTATCTGGCTGAGGCCAGAACAAGGCACTCATAGTTAGCCATAGAGACACTAACTAGAGTGTTAATGCATGCCTGAACAGGGCCAGAACCAGGAGGGGAGTGCCAGGAGAAGAGACACCCAGAGGTCACTCATGTACCCATAATGGGCAGTCTGTACACAAGGGGTCTGGAGCAGTGAGAAGATGAACCTGCCAAGGCCCAGAACTGTTCCTGGAGCCAGGTGAGAAATGCTGGGTCAGTGAATGTCAGCATTGGCTGCAACAGCGATTCCGAAACTCGAGTGCTCATCAATGTCAGCGAGGGTAACCTGCACAGTCTCACAGGTCCACCCAAACGCAGAAAGACCCTGCACTCAGAAAGACCCCCACACTCAGCGAGACCCCCACACTCAGAGAGACCCCCACACTCAGAGAGACCCCCACACTCAGCGAGACCCCCACACTCAGAGAGACCCCACACTCAGAAAGACCCCCACACTCAGAGAGACCCCACACTCAGAAAGACCCCCACACTCAGAAAGACCGTTACACTCAGAAAGACCTCCACACTCAGCGAGACCCCCACACTCAGAGAGATCCCCACACTCAGAGAGACCCCACACTCAGAAAGACCCCCACACTCAGAGAGACCGTTACACTCAGCGAGACCCCCACACTCAGAGAGACCCCCACACTCAGCGAGATCCCCACACTCAGAAAGACCCCCACACTCAGCGAGACCCCCACACTCAGAAAGACCCCCACACTCAGAGAGACCCCCACACTCAGAGAGAACCCCACACTCAGAAAGACACTCATGCTCAGAAAGACCCCCACATTCAGAGGGACCCCCACACTCAGAGAGATCCCCACACTCAGAGAGACCCCCACACTCAGAAAGACCCCACACACAGAAGGCTTTAGTGGTCTGCTGTTGCCGTCCTGAGATTCTTAATATTTTTTGAATAAGGGGCGCTACGTTTTCATTTTGTCCTGGTCCCCACAAAGGACACAGCTGGCCCTCCCTGAGGTGCTTGTGAAAACCCACATTGCTGGGTCCCTCCCCAAGAATTTCTGACTCAGAAGTTCCCAGGTAAGAATTTTGAGAATCCTCAGAGCCAGTGGAATGGGGTAGCACCGGAGGATCCCAGCAGAGGGAAGGCTCGTCCAGACGAGCTCTGTGGCCTGGTCAGAGCTGCTGCTGCTTCCGAGTCAGAAGTCAAGAGGGTGCAAGGGGCCAGCTCAGCTCAAACCTTTATTTCTGAAAGGGCCAGAAAGCCCAAAGGCCAGCGCTGGCTTTCAATGCATGGGAAGGAATTGAGGGTGAAGGTTTGAGAACGGACACACACAACCCGAAAGAGCAGATCTCAGGAGGTGTAGGCAAATCTGGGGTGGAAAACGGAGTCTGAAATTGGCTGCTGGGTGGGCATGGTGGCTCACAACTGCAATCCCAGTGCTTTGGGAGGCGGAGGAGGGAGGATTGTTTGAGTCTAGGAGTTTGAGGCTGCAGTGAACTATGATGGCATCACTGCCCTCCAGCCTGGGGACAGAGCAAGACCCTGTCTCGAGAAAAATATTAGGACTATAAATCAAGGGAAACTGAGTCACATGAAGCAGTGTACCTGCACCTGCCCCATTCGTTCAGGAGCGAGTTGTTCAATGAGGGCTACTTGCACTCTAGAGAAAGGTTAACGCGCTGTCTGTTGGATGCACTGGGCCAGCAGAATGGTGAGTGGAAGGTTTTAAGCTCCCAGGACATAAGATGGTGGAAGGCTGGAGTATCCTATAACCCTAATGGTAGGCCAGAGTCTTCTGCCTCGAGGAGGTTGTGGGACTATTTTTAACATGTTTTCCACTACAAAATGAGTTCTCAGTGGTCTGTGTTGGAGGCTGAATCCCGCTATTTAAGAACTGTTTCTTCTGTTTAAAGGAGGGCGTTCTTAACTGGAGATTATAGACCTCTTGAGAGTCAACGGATGTGCTCCAGAAGGTCCACGTGCCCTGCGGGAATTGTTTGTGAAATTTAGTGTGTGTTATAGACACATATTTTTTCCTGGGGAGAGGATCTGCAGCTTTCAGATTCTCAAAGGGTTCTGTGACCCCCTCACAAAAGGATTTATTGAAATGGTTTGTCTGAAAGGGGGATTATTCAGGAAATAGTGTCAGACTAACTGGCCAACCCTTCGAAAAAAAATAATAAAGCAGGATCCTCACCTAACTCCTTATACCCAAATACATCCCCGATGGGTCAAGGATTAACATATTAAAGAAAAATGAAGCAATAAAAGTTCCGGAAGACATTTGGGTAAATATATTTACAATGTTGGAGTTGGAAACCAGTTTCCAAAGTGGGAAACGAAAACCAGAAACCACACAGGAAAGAATGATCAATCTAGTTCAGAAAAATGAAAGCATCAATGTGGGTAAAATCAAGACAAAAGACTATTGAGGTCAAAAGACAAGGGGTGAACAGGAAGTCATATTTATAGCACCAATCATAGATGAGAAGTCAATTTATTAAGTTACGAAGCATTTAGGTAACCTGTAAGAAAAAAATTAAAATAACTAAATATAAAGATGTACCTACAATGTGGGTAGGCAGTGAACACTGAAAGAAAGAGAGCCAATGAAAAGATTAAAGAAATGTGAATGGATGCCAAAAATTGTATTACCATTTTTTAACCTCACAGATTGGCCAAAATTTATATTGACAGTGTTTTATTATATGGATGTTTTATATTTTATTTAGTCTTGCATTTGCTATTTGGATTGCATCTGATTCTCAGGTATTAGAAACAATGTTGTCAAGAACAATTTTGTAGTTAAATCCATCATAATTTACTTAAATGCTTGAAGGATCACTAACATTTAGCATCACATAGCTGATCTTGTCCCTTCCAAACGGATCAGAGTATCCAGGCTGGAGCCAGGGTCATCGCACAGTGTTGTAGCCCTCCTGGGAATGGTAGCCCTGGATGTCGAGATGGAAAATGTGGTAAATTATATTCAGTGAGTGTCCATTATGTGCAAAGTGTGTGCTGGGGACTTTTGAAAAATTTTATTTTATTTAAGACAGAGTCTCACTTTGTCACCCAGGGAGGAGTGCAGTGGCATGATCTCGGCTCACTGCAACCTCCACCTCCCAGATTCAAGCGATTCTCATGCCTCAGCCTCCCGAGTAGCTAGAATTACAGGCATGCGCCACCACGCCTGGCTAATTTTCTTGTATTTTTAGAAGAGACGGGGTTTTACCGTGTCGGCCAAGCTGATCTCAAACTTCTGATCTCAAGTGATCTGCCCGCCTCCACCTCCCAGAGTGCTGGGATTACAGGAGTGAACCACTGCTCCTGGCCCGGTACTTTTGAATATATTAGCCATCTCACTTCACAACACGAAGAAATCAAGCCAGCGTTTTTTCCCCATTGTACAGATGCAAAAACAAGATCAGAAAGGTTTAGTAATTTCCCCCAGACTGCACAGTGAGGTAAGACGCAGGCCACTCTGGCCGAAAGCCGGTGTTCTTCTCGCCTCGCCAGCCGTCTGCTGAGAGCAGCAGCAGGTAGTTGGTGTTGTACTTCTGGAGGGTGGGGAGACTAGGAGGGAAGAAAGTCACTGCCAGGGAGGCGGAAGGACCCCCAAAGACAATTTTGTCCCTATTTACAATTTTCCCAAAGGTTGTCCCTGTCCCCTGGGTGCCCTGATGTGTTTTCCTCAAGGGAACATTCTGTGTGGGAGGCTCAGAGGTTGTCTCTGCGAGTTTGTACAAGGAATGGATGATAAATAGCAGTGGGCCTTGCTCTACCTCCCTGTGCCTTGTGACTTTTTAGGTGCATTTAGATGGGCCACCCAGGTTGACTCGAAGCTTTCAATACCCATGTGTGCATGCAAGCTTTCATAGAGCTCAGCGACGGAAAAGATGTTTCTCCATTCCCTCTGGTCCCAGGCAATTCAAAACCTTTCTCATCTGATTGCTCTTCTTAACCCTTCTAATTGCTGTTACTTTGCTGTTCTTCCCCCGCTAAGCCAGCCGACTCATCGTCCCTACCTTCATACTCCACCAGACCAGTCCCCACACCAGGTCACCCAATTAAGTAACCGTGTTCAGGTGAAAGTCTTCACAAACTGAGCGCAGGTACCGTGTTACCTTTTAAACACATTCTGAAGACCTAACGCTGTCAGAAGGAGTCTGGGGGCTCAGAGTTGATTTTCTAAGAGGAGCCTCTACTCTTAAACCATACCGTGTCTCCAGAGCTATAGCCAGAGGAGATGAACTGTGATTCTGAGAAAGCAGAACTATGAACCAGTGTAAGCAGAGAGAGGAACCGTCTGGCCCTGTTAGTGGCAGATACGAAGTGTCCTTACTCTGCTATTACTCAAAGGTGGTTACCAGTTAAAATGATCCCCCCAATAGTTGGCTATTTCTTTTCTTTTCTTTTCTTTTTCTTTTTTTTTTTTTTTTTTTTTGAGACAGAATTTCACTATGTTGGCCTCCGAGTTGAGGCCAGGCTGGTCTCAAACTCCTGTGCCTCAGGATCAAAGGCCTCAAGTGATCTGCCCTCCTCGGCTTCCCAAAGTGCTGGTATTACAGGCATGAGCCACTGCGCCCAGTCTTATTTTTTTGTATTTTTAATAGAGACAGGGCTTCACCATGTTGTCCAGGCTGGTCTCAAACTCCTGACCTCAAGTGATCCAACCTCCTTGGCCTCCCAAAGTGCTAGGATTACAGGCGTGAGCCACCACACCCGCCTCATAGTTGGCTTTCTAAAGACATGAAAACACAGTGAGCGATAGTGTAGAAAGTATCAAATGACTTTTTAAAATGTACAGATTCTTTGACCCCCCCCGCACAATTTTGCTCCTACAAATTTATCTTAAGGAAAGACTCCTATTTGTACAAAGATCTATGTACAATATGTTCTTCTCAGAATCTTCTATAGTATTGGAGAAATGGAAACCAACCAGTTGTTCAATAAAAGGGACTGACCAAGAAAATGAATGTGGCTATTAAAAGCCATGTTGTAAGAAAGATAGTGATGTGGCAGAATGGTCATAATGGACTAGGATCAGGGGAAGGGGGCATGAATGATAGGGAAAGCAGGCTAGAAAATAGTATGTACAATGGTACGTGCGTTTATAAAGAAAAAAGACTGGGAGGAGAGAGAAAGAAGGCTAGAAATCTTTGTAGCAAAAATGTTAAAGAGCTTTTCTCCAGGGTAGAGAATTATGAGCAATTTTTCTTTTTCTTGTGCTTTTTGGTTTTCCACTTTTGCTACATTGAGCTCCTTTGTAATTAGGAAAACCATGTTTTTAAAAGAGGTGGTTTTGTTACAGGTCCTTTGGTTCAGGATTCTGTAGTTGCCACGGGCTGTGGTGAGAGCCTGGAGGTGTCTGCTCAGGGAAGAGCAGCTGCCAGGTGGGGTCCGGGATGCAGGTGGCTATGCAAGCGGCTCAGCTTGTAGGAGAGTTGAGCTTGGCTCATGGATTCTCCTCCCATGATCGCTTTTCCCACTTCCCCGCCTCCGCCCCCCACCTCCCTGCACCGATCCCACAGGGGACAATCAGTATCCCAAATACCCAGCCTGTTAGACATAGTGTCTGATCGAAGATCGAGTTCCTCGGATTAATGCTGGGTTGAAAAATGACCCATAAGTCCCCAGAGATGGAGCAGAGCTGGAGTGGAGCTTTGAATTTATAACCCAGCCTCCCAGCGCTGGGCCTGGACACCACACAATTTTGACAGATGATTCTCATGAGAAACTTTCAGTTTCCATTTGATTATGGGCCCATAAACACAGATTGCAATTGAGCAGAGTTAGGGCTCTGCCTGGATTGGACCTGCCAGGGCTCAGGGAGCCTTACTGGATGGCTCTGGCCTGCCTGTCACCTGCTGGTTCTGAGCTGCTGCCTGCAGCTATGCATGTGTTGAGATGTGGCTGTTGGATGTATCCACATGCATCTCTTATGTGGGCATCTGCCTCTCCCATTAGCCTGGACAGGGATGTGTCTTTCCAATGGATCATCCAGTTGTACTATCTTTGGGTGGTAGTTGTGCCTGCTGGTTACAGGAGGTTTCAGCTAACTCTGGTTTAGGGTTGACCATCTTGCTTTTACTTTTTCACTCACTCACTCACTCATTCATTCACCATTTGCCATTACTGAGCAGCTCTCATGTGTCAGAATACGGACTTAGTAACACCAGGCAGACTCAGGGATACCAAGAATAAAGTCTCACTGATAGCGTCAGAGGAGTCACACTTAAGATAGTGTCACGTATGCATTAATTTAGAAAAACGTTCAGGGAGCTAAGAGAACACAGAGGATGAACCCCTAGGCAGGAGGGAGAAGCCAGCCTGGGCTACCAGGAAGGGAGGCTGTTCACTCAATTCATCTCAACAAGTGTCTGGAGCAGCTGCACTGGGCTAGACCCCCAGAGGATCAGATATAGACAGTGCAGTGGCATAGGCTAGACCCCCAGAGGATTAGATAGAGACAGTGCAGTGGCATAGGCTAGACCCCCAGAGGATTAGATAGAGACAGTGCAGTGGCATAGGCTAGATCCCCTGAGGGTTAGACAGAAATGGTGCAGTGACGTTGTTCCTACCTCCATATTGCTTACCATTGTCGAGTATTTCTTCCAGCATTCCAGGGTAAGATTGCTTCTTGCTCACTCTCCCTGCGGGGAAAATATTAGCAGCTGCTTCAGGACCCTTGAGCACAGGGACAAGACAAACCGATAGCAGAGGGACACCTGCGGGGTCTGGAGCCTTCAGCTGGAATGAATTCAACAAATATTTACTCGCCTTATGCCAGGCACTCTTCAAAGCACTGGGCAAGCAGAAAAGCCAAAGAGGCAAAGTCCACATTCCGCTGGGGAGAAAGAGAGAGAGACCATCGCCGAAGGCGCACATGCGTAGGTAAGGGGTCAGGTCCACATTCCACTGGGGAGAAAGAGAGAGAGATCATCGTCGAAGGCGCACGTGCGTAGGTAACGGGTCAAGTGCAGAGAAGCGCAAGGAAGAGACTTCCGTCAGAGAACAGCTGAGAGAGGACGGAGGGCAAGGCTATGTTTATACACAGGCAGAAACGACAGCAGCTTGGATTGTGGTGGCAACGGAGGAAGTGGCTGGAGGGGACCGGACTGTAGATGCATTTTGAAAGTAGAGCTTTTAGAGCGAGGGGTGTGGGAGACAGAGAGGAGTGGAGGATGATTGCAGGGGTTTCAGCTTGAGAACTGGGGAGCGAGCTGCTGTTTATTGAGGTGGAGAAAACTGGGAGAGGAACAGGTTTGGGGGAAGCCAAACCTGTTATCCCATAACTGTGGCACTTGATGGCTGTCCTAGGAGACTCTCACATGCCGCCCCCCACACCCCCACCTCATAGTTCCTGACTGGTGCTGTGATGTGCCCTGTCTTTTCGTGACCCCTGCATCGGCCTTTCTTCCTTGGCTGATGCACCATTTGCACTGCCCTCTGTGCTGCAAATGTAGCGGCCAGGCTTTTTGCACACCTTTTTGCTCAGGCCCGGGTGCTGCTGGGAGAAAATGCCTGTTCTTCCAGGGTTCCCCGCCTAATGTAAGCCATAGCATGCTGCCGCTCAGAGCCCCGGGTGACCTTCCCGTCCTGGGCACAGGAGTCAGGCGATTCAGCACCAGCCCTGGGCCCTGAGGCCTGTGGATGCCGCTGCCTCTTGTGCCGTGCTGCGCGCAGTGCCGGCTCCTTGTCCATAGAAACGTCCGGGCCCACCCGTGGCTTGCGAGGCCTCCCGCCCCCGGTCTGGTTTGCACCAGCCTCTTTTGTGTACCAGCTGCTCTGGCCGCCGCTCTTTCATCCCTGCTTCTGGGAGGGCCTGGCTCCGCACCCTGCGCAAACACATCTGGACTGCTTCAGACCGCATGACAGGAACAGCTGCTGCCAGAAAGCAAAGGACACAGCGGCCCTTTTGTAATCACTGTTGATTGTCTCCAGCCGTAGGGCACTTGTGTTTTGGTCTTGGATTTAAGGACTGCCAAGATGTTTCTAGGAGCATATTATTGCCCCAGGCCTGGCCGTGCCTTCTGTGGTCCAGGTGGCAGCAGGAAAGGGTAGAGGCATTTGGACCGAGCAAAGAGGCTCCTGTAAGTGTCTGTCCTGAGGCTTCCACCTTCTAGGATAGGACAGGGCACACAAGGAGGAAGAAGGCAGCAATGTGGCTGTCACCCACCGTAGCCACTTGCTGGCGTGGCTGACACCAGCCCTGGGCCCTGAGACAGCAGCCACTTCAGGCCTTCGGGCCCAGGGCTGGTGCTGAATCTCCTGTCTCCTGTGCCCAGGACAGGAATGTCACCTTGGGCTCTGAGCTACAGTGTGCTGTGACTTGCGATAGACGGGGTCTGGTGGCTTCCATGGTCTCCTGTTGACTCCACCTGCCAGTGTCTGCATCTCTTTGCCTGAGGGCTTTTTCTAAAGCTGTAAAAGTTTGCTTTGTCAGAAGAGGGGAAATGAATATCCCCCACCAGAGCAGCCCTCAGCTAGTGGCTGAGGGGACTGGGTGTATAAATACCCCAGCTACCTTGCCCTCAGCAGGGAGGACTTGGAGGCATCTGTTCTACAGGTCACCAGAGGACCCCGGAGGATTAAGCTCCAACTGCCAGCATGGGTGCTGGCTTGATCCCCTGCTCCTCCTCCTCCCCTGCTGCCTGTCCTCCCTGTGTACCCTCCTGCCTCCCTGGCAGTGGTCCTGTATCTCCTAAAGGTACACAGGATCCTCCTCTCAGGACCTGCTTTTGGGCGAACCCGAACTAAGACCAGTGATAGCAAAGGTCTATGGATTTAGGGATTGTTTTTAGGGCAGTTCAAACAGGTACCAAGAACCTGTGGGACGAACACATTAAAAGTGGAACTGCTCAATAGTTTTACTTAGAATCAGCTTTGAATGTACCTCAAGTTCAGAAAAAGTGCACAAAATCAGCCCTTTATAAGAAGCAACCCCACTGTCACTGAAGGAAGGGGTTCCTCTGTCTCTTTCATCTGCCTTCATACAGGAACATTTTAGACCATTTAAACCTCCATATTCCCGAGTCAGAGATTTGGGCTGAACCTAGGAAGCTATTTTGACATCATATAGGACTATACTGAGACAAAGTCTAAGGGAAAAGTGGAGAGGTCCGTCCGGAGGCTTAGCCTCAGTGTGGTATGTGGACATGGTTCCTTCATTGGCTGCTGTCACTGGTGAAGTGGAATTCTGGGGTCCAGAATTCTTTAGCTTCACAATTCAGCCAGTGGGATTATTTTCTGGGTAATCATGACATCAGCCACGGTTCATAGAATCAGGAAGGTCAATCTTTTTTTTTTTTTTTTTTAGATGGAGTCTCGCTCTGTTGCCCAGGCTGGAGTGCAGTGGCGCAATCTCGGCTCACTGCAACCATTGCCTCCTGGGTTCAAGTGATTCTCCTGCCTCAGCCTCCCAAGTAGCTGGGATTACCGGCATGCACCACCATGCCTGGCTAATTTTTGTATTTTTAGTAAAGATGGGGTTTCACCATTTTGGTCAGGCTGGTCTCGAACTCCTGACATTGTGATCTGCCCAGCTCCTGATCTGCCCACCTCAGCCTCCCAAAAGTGCTGGGATTACCGGCATGAGCGTCCGTGCCTGGCCTTTTTTTTTTCTCTGAGATGGAGTCTCACTTTATTGCCCAGGCTGGAATGCAGTGACACAATCTCAGCTCACTGCAACCTCTGTCTCTCAGGTTCAAGTGATTCTCCTGCCTCACCCGAGTAGCTGGGACTACAGGTGCCTGCCACTACACGCGGCTAATTTTTTGTATTTTTAGTAGAGATAGGGTTTCACCATGTTGGCCAGGCTAGTCTTGATCTCCTGATCTCGTGATTCACCACCCCATCGGCCTCCCAAAGTGCTGGGATTACAGGCATGAACCACCGTGCCCAGCCAGGAAGGTCAATCTTTTCGCTGACAGCACGGGAGTCACACCGCAGTGACTTAATTGCCACCTGTACTTTACCCACTCCCCCAAACTCACCCTGTACTCATGTTCCTGGATGAACTAGCTTTGCAAATATCAGCCGTGTGTTTCCATCCTGAAAACCCATCCTCTGCATCCTTAATGGAGCTGACCTGAAATGGCCAACATGGAGGACCGGCCCCTTCTGGATCAGCTGAATTTCAAATCAACATGATTTGAAAGAGCCGAGAGTCAGCACACACATGATCTCTCATCAGCCGCTGGCTGGAAAGACACATAATAAAGGATTCGGCAGAGCTTCTGATACCGCCGGCTTTGCGACCTTGTGAGGCTTGGGAGAGGAGCCTGGTTCTCATTTGAACAGATGGGCCTGTTTGCAAATACTTCCTCTGATACCCGAGAACACACAACATCCTGTCTGAGGTGGGTGGTTGTGACTGAAGAGACCAAACAGACCTCAAAGAAACACCTGCCACAGAAGTGGCAGCTCTGACTGTGGAGCCGAGAAAGCTTCGGCATTGCTGCCTCCCTGTCTAAGGGTGAAATTCTACTTTATATATATATATGTATCTACTTTAAGTTCTAGGGTACACGTGCACAATGTGCAGGTTTGTTACATAGGTATACATGTGCCATGTTGGTTTGCTGCACCCATTAACTCGTCATTTACATTAGATATTTCTTAAGGGTGGAATTTTTTAACAAGCAGGCCAGAGTAAGGTTCTGAGAGTAAGAGGCAGAGCCAGCCTCCCTGCTGTCCTGCCTGAGAAGCTGGGGGCTGAGGTCTGATGGAGGAAGACAGGACAGAGAGGGGCAGGATGTCCAAGTATCCTTTTGGATGTATCACAGCGATGCCTGGTACCGGGCAGGGGCAGACCATTTCTCCAAGGGCTGATGCTATTCTGAGAAGGTATCTTGCCCACCCAACTATCTCTTGGTCCCAGACTTGTCCAATTTTCTTCCCAATAACCAGCAGCCAACACCGTGCCCTCTTTGCAGTGAGACTGTACTGCAGTTGGAGAGAGAGCCCTGTAGGCAATGCAGAGTATTCCCAGGGTCACTCCCAAACATTCATTCAAGCATGGCACTAGGCCAGGGCTCTGCAGAGAGAGATACCCTGAGACTTCTGATACCCTCTGGGACGAGAGTGACAGATACCAGTCAAGGATCTCACCAATTCATCTCCCGTGCCCCAAGCAGATGTAATTCATGATATTCCTATGTTCAACTGGGACACAGCCTCAGAATCCTTCATACTCCAATCCAGCAGGCAGCCACGAATGCCGAGATCCAGAGCTGAGATGCAACATGCTTTCCACATCTTCCCTGGGGACTTACAGTTTAAAACGGATTCCCTGACACCAATAACCATGCAGCAGATATGCAGATACCTCGATAAGAAAGGTCTTTGTGATTTATAATAGCAGATATAATCATTTACCCTGCCTAAAAGCTAAGGGTTTTTACCACACTGTGAGGTTTCGAAGCAGAGTATCACATGATTCGTGTTCCTGAATTTGACACTGGGGAATCCTCATCTGAGTTGAGGAGGATATAGCAATCTTCATTAGCCACTCTCAGGGGGTCTCTGCCCAGGATACAGGATCCGGACAGAGAACAAAGCAAAGAGGACCGATGTCTCCATCCTCGGTAGCATCTCTCCAATCTGCTCCTACCCCTCTGGCTCTCCTAAGCTCCCCTCAAGTAGGTGATCAGGTAAATTATCCTCTAAACTAGGAAAGGTACTATTAATAATTACATCACAATAACAGGTAAACCGGGAGGTGCCTCAGGCAAACAGGAAAGTAGGATCCCCATGCCCACAGGCCCTCTACTTTTGTATGGGGAGGTGCATCTTGTATGCCGGATGTGTGTGTAGGGGTGGGTGTGATTTGGTGGGTGTGCTATAGGGTGCTGAGCAAAAGCACATCCTTCTCCTGCCTAGGGATCAGTCCCTTCCTCAGCCCTGTGTCCCCTCTGGCTTCGCCTGCCAAGGCTCTATCAGGTGTGAGAGTACGGATCGATGGAGCTCCTGGCTGAGCTGATGAGGCTCCCAGGGACTAGAGCAATTAATTAAACCTCTTCCCAGCTCTCAGCACAAGCCCCGTGCCTCTGCCAGAGCCTTTTAACTGCCACTCGAATGGGTAGCTCTTAAAATCAACGTCCTTCTCTTAAAATCAACATCTTGCTCAGCAGTGCTAGGAGAGGGAGGCTGGAGAAGGCATGGAGCTGCCCTGTCCAGCAGTCCCCACCTCCCATTTGGGGCAGGTCCCAGGAAATGCTTCCTTCCAATAGCTTCTTCCCTGCTGTGCCCACTTTGGGAGTTTTTGCAGCTATGAGATTGTTGACAAAATGCAGATAGCCACACATGGGAGACGCTTCTGAGATCTTAGAGCCCAGCTGAAGATCCCTGAGGGAAAGGGGCTTTCTGGACACCCAGGTTTCCTGGGAGGGGAAGGATGTTCCAGCTCTGGTCTTGGCCGATATCACCATGGATGAACGAGACCCAGATCTAGCTGCTACAGGCGCTGTGGGGCATGGGACAGAGGACACACACAGCACTGGCTGTGGAGTCCTGTTGTGAGCATCCCTGTTGAAAGAAGTAGGCAGGAGACTCTCAGGACCAAACAGATAGAGCCCAAATAACCTGGAAATAAATTGCATGAAGAGCCCTGGGCCAGGCCTTCAGGAGCCAGGGCCCAGGGGAATCGGGCTGTCCAGAGCAGCCTCTGTGAGAGCTGCTGGGGATGCAATGGTCTTAAAGCTGCCTCTTGACTCTGAGATTCCAGACTTTGATTCTGCAATGGACTCAAACCCAGCATCCAATGCGGAACAATAGCTGTGCTCTTGCCCTCCCTGACCCCACAGAGGGATGCAGTGGCACAGTTCTGTCCACACAGCCAATAACGCGAAAATCACCTCTATTTGGAATGCATTAGGATTCCAATTTACAACAAATTTTCTTTCCTAAACTCGCTTGGCTTTGCAGACATGTGTCTCTGACAGCAGAACGAGGGCAGGGCCCCTGTGTGCCAGGCCAGAAAGAGGGACCTGGCAAGGAGTCCTGAATTTTCAGGTGAAAAATCTGCTTTAGGCAAACTGGGAATGAATGCTGATGTAACTTGGCGTGTATGTGTGTGCGTGTGCACGTGTGTGATGAAGGGTCTGTGTGTATTGCGGGAGGCAGAGATCCTGGAGACCCTGCCTAGTGACAGTAATTGTGGGTGATGATGTCTGATAATCGGATAATCATATTGATAACAACCATCATCTCCCTCACACTTCTGGTGGCCCAATGATTTCACCCATCACTTTGGTTTGTCTTGTGCTTGGGCAGGTGCACTAGGGCCCCGTCTTACAGATGAGGATGCTGAGGACCAGGGAAGCCCATTAATAAGGTCCCACTGCTGGTAAGTGACAGACTAGGATTGGAAGGCTGCTGTCTGTTTTTGGAGGCCCTATGCTTGATTGCCCCTGAATCTGACACACTTGGGTGGAGTTGGGTTAAGCTAGGCCAGCTCCCAGAAGAAGTGGGTCTTAGCCCTGATGAGGCTAAGGAAGCTGCAGTGAGGGTGGTGTCCCATGTTCCCTTCACCACCCAGGGCTGTGAATCATCGTCCAGGCCTTGGGGATGCAGGATGGGTGTTGGAACATATGACAGCTTTGCACATTTATTTGTGCTCCTGACAACATGAGCAGAGAAAGCTGCAGGCTATAGACTTGCAGTCTGAGGGTCTGGGGTAGATGTCCCAGTACTGCATCAATATGGCAGCTCTGTCTTCATTAAGGTCCTGGACAGGGGCAAGACCCAGCCTGCTAAGTGCACTGGGCTCTGGGGTCATGGCTCTCTGCCAGGGCACCTCAGGCCAAGTCAAGGCATGTGGAGGGTAGACTGGGCTATGAGCAGCCATGCCAGGGGCGCCATCCTTGCTCCCTCTCTTTGAGAACTGCAGAATTAGCTCCTGGTGGTGGGTGGTTGAGCCCAACTGCCGCCAGCTGGATAGCAAAAGGGCAGCGGGCAGCTCCGTGGGCACCCCCCTCTTGGTGCGTGCTGAACTGTGGCAAACCCAGGTCTCTCAGGCTGGAGGAGAGCAGGCCTGCCTCCCTGTAAGAGTCCAGGGCAGCAGCTGTGGGACAGGGTGGTGTGAGGGGTTGGGAGGGGAGCTCGTAGAGAGTCAAGGAGGCAAAGGGCTGTGTCAGATCTTCTGGCCAGAAGTGACAGAAGATGCACCTCAAAATGGCTTCATGAAGACCAAAAGGGTGGGCATGTCTCTCACTGGTTCCCTTGACTGAAATACCTATGCCTGGCCAAACCTGGGGCTCGATGGTGGAATCGAGATTTGGTCTCTGGATTTCTCAGTTCTGCTTCCTTCTGCACTGGTCTCTGCTCAGGCAGTTGGGGCAAGATGGTGGCCCACAGCTCCAGCCCTGGGAAAAAAAGTGAGCTTCTCTTCCTCAACCAATAAAAGCCAAGTTTGTGCCTGACTGAAGCACATGGGCATCCATGAACCGGTCCTGTGCTCTGGGAGTCAGGAGTGGGGTCAGGTTCACATGGGATGTGATGACGATGATGTGTCCTAAAGCTCAAGAACAGGAATGAAGGCTGGGTGGCCCAAGGAACAGTCACCGACCATGAACAGGAACAGTATCAATCTGGATCGGCCTGAAAATTCTTGGATGGAGGTGTGTCCAGGAGAAGAGAGGGAGGGAAGGAGGGAGGAAGGTATGCGTGTGTGGATCAGTGAGTACTGCAGGCTCCCTTCAGAGACAGGGAGAATTTAGCACCGAGCACCAGGGGGCAGCCACAATGAGCCTGACAGGCCCTGTTCCCAGGAGGGCGTCAGGTGTGCGTCATGGAGGTGTTGTGCACACCTGAGTGTGTGTGCAGGCGAAAGGGTGAACTTGCTCCCTGGAAACACCACCCCCAGACCTTTCCGAACCCCATCCACAATAACCAATATTTCTCTAGTGCAGTGGACACAAGGCTTTCCACATCTCAGTCTCCCTGGGCAGCAAGTGAGGCTGATACCATTGGGATCTCCGTTTTAACAGGTGAGGCAGGGCCGGTCAGCACTCGCTGCAGGTGAGTGGGCTGCCTTGGCTGCCTGGGTTGGATTCTGGGCTCTGCTATTTACTAGCTGTGTGACCTTCAGATCACTTGCTCAACCTCCTTGTGCCTCAGTTTCCCCATTTGTAAGAGGAGCTGATAGCACTTTCCACACCATGTGGTGAGGGTGAGATAAGTTGGTGTGTGTGACCTGCTGAGAAGGCTGTTTTATGTGTTGCAGGAAAAGAGACCTGGGCCGCGTATCAGCCTTTTGGGCTCAATCTCGTGGCTGAACCACTGCTTTCCACAGTCAGGTGCTGTGCAGCTCTGAATAGACCTTTCCAGTGGAAGGCTCTAGGGCTCTCCTGTGGATGTTCCTTCCTGCAACCTGGAGGGCACGCAAGTCAGAGGTCCTTTGGGGCCAGTGGGCCGGTGCTGAGCAGGTGAGGCTGCTCTAATGGTTATTAAACGTCCCAGCTGGTGCTGCGCGTCTAAGTGTGGCTGAGTGTGGGACCCACGAGGCCCTTCTCCCATGATTTCAGCCTGGTCTAAGGGCTCTGGGGGAGTGAGAGCTGAGGTTCAGGCATCTCTTCCTTCAAACGGATATATGGAATAATGCGGAAGATGGTGGCGTGAGCCAATGGCATGAAGGAGCCAGGTGGAAGGAAGTTGGACTGTTTGCCTGCTGGGGAAAGGAAGGGACACTGCCGTACCCTGCTGCTGAAAGTGGGGTCCACGGGCCAGCAGCACTGTCACCACCTGGAAACCCTGTAGGAAATGCAGAACCTCAGACCGACCCCAGATTTAGGGTATCAGAACCTGCTTTTTCAAAAAATTGTTAATGAGACAGGGTCTGGCTCTGTCGCCCAGGCTAGACTGCAGCAGCGTGATCTCAGCTCACTGCAACCTCTGCCTCCTGGGCTCAAGCGATTCTCCTGCCTCAGCCTCCTGAGTAGCTGAGACTACAGGTGCATGCCACCATGCCCAGCCAATTTTTTGGATTTTTAGTAGAGACAGGGTCTCACCATGTTGCCCAGGCTGGTGTCAAACTCATAGCCTCAAGCGATCCTCCATCCTCAGCTTCCCAAAGTTCTGGGATTACAGGCATAAGCCATCAGGACTGGCCAGAGTATGCTTTTTTTTTTAAATTAAATTAAATTTTTTTTTGAGATGTATCACTCTGTCGCCCAGGCTGGAGTGCAGTGGCGGAATCTCAGCTCACTGCAACCTCCACTTCCTGGGTTAAGGGATTCTCCTGCCTCAGCATCCTGAGTAGCTGGGATTACAGGTGTGTACCATGACACCTGGCTAATTCTTTTTGTAGTTTTTTAATAAGATGACTTACATGCGCTAAAATGCTTGAGAAGCACAGTGTTAGTTATCAACCCCAGGGAAGGTTTCAGTTCCCCCAGTCATACTGAGCTTCTATGGGGCGTTCCAATAACTAAGAGAAAGAGCCTCTGACACAAGTCAGTGGGCAAAGCTCTAGACTTCATTTCTAGCACTGTGCTGCCCAATATGGCAGCCATGGGCCATGTGTGGCTATTAAGGTTAAATGTATATTAAAGGAGATGAAGTACAGTGAAACATTTCAGTGCTTCGGTCACACAAGTCACATTTCAAGTGCTCAGTAGTCACACGTGGCTTGTGGCTGGTATATTTGTGGCACCAATTACTGAACAATTCCCCTATCACAGAAAATTATACTGAGCAGTGTTGGTCTAGTGTCTGACAGTGTAGCCATGTGCAGAGAATGACCCAACCCCAGCTTTCCCTGAATGGAGGCTTCCCTCTTTGGTGGCAGGGGGATGGGGGTGGAGGTGGTGGATGGGCAAGTGACAGTTGTGTGAAACTCAGAAGTGTGCGATTTGGGTGGGGAGGGGCACTGCAGCCCCAGGAAACAGCTGCATGAGCAAGAACATCTGGTGAAAATCAAGGCTTGAGTTAGTTCACGTGAGACACACTGGAAGGATGTTAGAGATCATTTAGCTCAAATCTCCCCCTCCCCTTCCTATCACTCATTTAATAAACCAAGACCTAGCAGTCTAAAGAAAAGTGCAGTGGCTAGAGTTGAAGTTGGGTTTTGCACTTCAAGACCAATGTTTGATGTATTCTGCTTGTGGGACAGTGAGACGAACTCTGTGCCTGCAAAGAAAGTTTCAATGAGGTAAGAGGTGCTGGAAAAGACATCACATGAGACAGTGCCATTCAGGAACCAAAGAACTTGCCTACAGCCTTGCAGGGAGGTGGCCAGAGAAATCTGGGGGAGGCACTGTGAAAGAACATTTCATGGTGGGGGCAGAAGGGGTGGGCAGCAGGGGGAAGGAGGACCTAGGCTGGGAAGGGCCCAGCTCCATCCCTGACCATTCGTCTATTAGATGACACCTGCATGGGGCAGAGGCTGGGCAATGTTTCACCAATATGCCTGGTCTCTTCCTCCTTGGTCTGCATTTCTGTGCCTCCCTATCCTTCCCCAGTTAGGTGGGTCCAGGAGACTGAACTCTGACCCACGGAATCTGGGCAGAAGAGTTGCTGCCATTTCCAGGGCTGGGCCCTAAAAGGCTCTCTCTGCCTTCTCTGGTAGCCCACCCAGATGCAGTTGATGCAGTGGAACATCCTAGAAGACTAGAAGACTACTGCGGCCTAGAAGACTACCGAGATACTGGAAAGGAGATGCCTTGTCCCCAAAAGACTGGGAGGAGTGGAACATCCCAGCTAGCTCACTTTAGGCTATTACTGCAAGAAATTAAACCTATATAGTGTTAAACCATAGAAAATTTGGGGGATGTTTGTTATAGCAGCTGGTCTACCCTGGCTAATACACTGCATGTGGGGTGTGCTCTAAAATTTCCATCTCTTCACCATACCCCATAGTCTTTGAAAGATATTTGTAGGTCACTGAAGAGGCCATTCTTTTCCCTTCCCTCCCTCTGTTTCTCTATTCTCAATTCTTCCTGTCTAGGAGTTCTGTAGTCACCTCCAATTGGCCCTTCAGGTTCCCCAATCCAGAAGCAGTTCCTAGGAAGGCAGCCCCAGGTTATTGCCATATTCATGGGGTTATCAGGGTTATGGCAGGTCCTAGGACAGAGGAAGTCCCTGCCCATCACTTCCTCCAGGAAGCCTTCCCTGCACTTTTGGGTTACAAATCATCCTGTGCATTCCCATAGAATATTGTCAGTGATGCCCACATTCTTTGTGGCCTGCTGTATGGTAACATATACACTCAGTACTCAGTTGTGGTTTACTTGTCTTACTTGTCACTCTTCTGTGGGATCCTAAAGAATTCCATCACTTCTACTGTGAAGCAGCAAGAGCCAGACATGCAGATACCCACTGTGGGAGGCAGCTTCTGATATGGCCTCCGAAGAAGTACCCTCCTGAGATTCATGCCCTTGTGTCATCCTCTCTCCTCCAGTGCGATCCAGACCCACTGAGTTGCTTCTAGTGAACTGAATACAGCAACAGTTCTAGGAGATTAGGCTTTAAAAGACTGGGTTATATTCTCTCTTTCAGGCACTCTGTCTCTCATTCTCCCTCTTGCTTGATCAAGATATGCTCTTTGATGAAGTAAGTTGCCACGTTGGAGAGGCCCATGTGGTAAGGAACTGAGGGTGGCTTCTGACCACCAACCAGTAAGGAAATAAAAGTCCTGAGTCCAACAACCCATAAGGAATGGAATCCAGCCAACGATCACATAATGAGGTTTGAAGTGGATTGGCTCCAGTTGAGCCTTCAGATGAGACCTCAGCCTCAGTTCACACCTTGATTCCAGCCTTGTGAGAAACCCTGGCCAGAAGACCCAGTTAAGCCATATCTGGGTTCCTGACCCCAAAGAACTGTGAGATAATAACTGTGGGTTATTATAAGGTAATACGTTATGGGGTAATTTTTTTTTTTTTTTTTGCAGCAATAGAAAACTAATAAACCAATGAAGAATATTTTAATGAAGGAAGGAAAATTGGTCCTCATTCAAGCAGTAAGGTAATTGGGGTTGGGTTCACGGCAATGTGGGACATGGTAGAGAACAACAACATGAAGGTGAAACTTGGGTGGGAACAGGGAGTGAACAGATGACCACCAGGGCCCTCTCAGGTGAGGCTGCCCAGTGATGGCCCTGGTGGCAGTTCCTGAAGATCCCTGGGGCCTTAGGTGGGTGACAGCTCTCCTAAGTCTCTGCTCCTGAGGCTGACAAGCCCTCACACTCCACATTCTGTCCATGCAGCTATAAATATTAAAACGTGCCAGAGGAGAGATTGCAAAATAGGGCTGTGGGCAAGATAGAGCTCTGAATTGAGGAGAAGAAATGAGAATGAATTTCTCTCTTCTGATTCCCGCTTCTGTCTGTTTATTGCAAAAGGCGCTGTGGGAGATAAGGAGCAGGCAGCTCGTGCCCTGCAGGCTGTGCAGGAGGCAGTTCCATTGAGGGTCGCATGGAGGGGCAGAGTTGGGTGCCACCTAGTTCACGAGGCCGCCTGAGGAGTCAGAGCTCCCCACACCGTCCCAGATGCTGCTACTGAGTAGAACTCTGGGGTTCAAGCCCTGCTGGTCCCACACCAGGGCAAAAACAAAATATAAAGTAAAACAAAATAAAGTAAAATAAAAGCAAACAGAAAAAGTACTCCTGTGTGGGTAGGTGTGGGGTGGCTTTGGGGCTCCCCAGCCCAGAGTCTGAGCACTACAGCTGCCAGACAAAGTCCCCCTAGTCCCTCTCTGCTCCTCTGTCTCATACCTCGAGTCTTCCTGTCCATCGATTCTTCTCCAGAAACTTCTTTCCCATCCACTGGCTTCTTTTCCATTCCTGCCACCAGCACTCTCATCTACTCACTGTTCATGACCTCCCCAACCAATGACTTATCTTCTTTCCCTCTACGCCTCTCTAATTCATCCTACCAGCAGATTCACTTTGAGATACTGCTTTGGACATATCACTTCCCTGTTTAAAATCTTCTATTTGTCCAAACCAGGGCAGGACTTAGTCTGGAACTGTTGGTCTCACCTACAAACCCTCAGGTACCCCTTTCTACCACAACGTCCAAGCCTCACCCCTAAGCACCCACTCCTTGCACCAGTTTCCCTGTCTGCCCTCTGCCCAAATGCACCCTGATTTCTTGTCTTTTTTTTTTTTTTTTTTTTAACTCCTCTCCCAGCCTGGCAGTTCCCAACCAGCTCTTCCTCACATGTCTTCCTGTACAAGTTATATCCTCCTCCTTCAAAACTCCGGTCCAATCTTACCTCTCAGCAAATCCATCCCTGACAATTGAAATCCTAAGTGCTTTCTCTGTCCTCTGAACTCTTATATAATTTTAGCCTGTGCAATTCATTTGTTAATTAATCATGCACTGTGCTGCCTTGAGACATCATTTTTTTTTCTCCTGTAGCCTTGTGCTGATAGTTAACTCTTTGAGGGTGATTTGAAGTTTGCTTGCTTATGTTTTGGCTTCATGCCCCTTTGTGACATCCTTGGGCACAGATGCCACAGCTTTTTACTCCTTGCAGCAGCTTCCCAAGGATCCCAGCACTGAGTGAGGCTGCTTCTGGGACTGCAGAGTGTTTTTGCTGGTTTTTATTCTCTCCTTCCCTAGGTCCTGGGACACTATTCTCTCTGTTTCCCCATTTATTCATTCATTGATGTCTCCTTTTAAGGGGGCTTCTTTCATGCTTGTCCTTGAATGGTATTTCCTTGGAGTTGGTCCTGATCCCCCTGCCTTTCTCACACTCCACTCTCACCCTGAATCATCTCAGCTAAGTTCCTTCTTCCCACTGCTGCTTGCATGCTTATAGCAATCAGTGTCTCCACCCATCACTGCTTCCCTAAACTGCAGGTCTCTATTGGATCCGTCAAGCTGCACATTCCACAGGAACCTCCAAACCAAGGGACCCAAACAGAACCAGCTGTTTGCAGTTGCCATTGCAAAGTACCACAAACTGGGAAACTTAAAACAAGGGATTTATTCTTTCACAGTTCTAGAAGCTGGAAATCCAAAATCGAGGTGTTGCAAGGCAGTGCTCCCTCTGAAGGCTCCGAGGGAGGATCGCTCCTTGCTCCTGGGGCTCCGGGCAATCCTTGGCGTTCCTCGGCTTGTAGCTGCATCACCTCTGCCTCCGCCTCCGTTTTCACAAGGACTTCTTCCCTGTGTGTCATTCTGTGTTTTCACATGGCCTTTTAAAGACATCAGCTTTTGAGACCCCAGATTTAGGGTCCACCGTAATCCAATATAACCTCATCTTAATTAATTAGAACTGGAAGACCTATTTCCAAATAAAGAGGTTCCGGGTGGACATGCCATTTTAGAGGGTCACCACTCATCCTGGTACACCCTTAGCTCTCCCCGTAACAAGCTTTCTTTTGGTAAATTACATTCCCCTTCCTCCCCCAGCCCAGTCACCCAGACCCAAGAAGCATGGGGCTTATGCAGATTCTCCTCTCTCCATTTCTCATCCTCTACCACAGTCGTTCCTGACACTCCTTGGCCACACCCTCCTATCCCTCGTCTCCCCTCTGACTTGCGGCGGTGGCCCCGACCTGCACAGCATAGGTCAGTGTCGGCCAATCTTCTTTTCATTATTCCCTGTCAAGAAGTCTTTTCCTAATTGCCTGCCTCTATGAACCTGCAATGCCACAGATAGACTGCATGTCTGTTTCTATGCTGTGTGTATTTTTATGCCTTTAAACATAAAGGGTAAGATTTCTGGCAGCCCCCCCAAGAACCAATTTTGCCACTTTGGGGGTGATGTCACCCCCTTCTGGAATGCATGGTGTGTGATCTCCCTCCCTCCCTCTGCTCTGGGCCCACCCCTCCTCTCACCCATGCATCTTTCCTACTTTTATAAAACACAAAAAGGAGCTTGCTCCACCTGAAACTGAGAGAACGTCAGCATTGCCCCTGAGAGAATGTCCAGACCTCTTGGGACAGCATCCTTCTGCATCCAGCGCAGCCCATGGCCCTTCCATCTGCTGCTCCAGCCACACAGGGAGCAGCTGCATTCAGGCCAATGTGCTTGGTCCCGGGACACCATCTGCCTGCACCATCCGCACCTCTTGCTTGCATGTTCAGTTTGAATTACATTTCAAGATGCAGGTTGAGAGTCACTATGACGAGAAAGTGCTCTCCTACCACCCCCAGGAGACTGGATGCCCATCCATCCCCACTCACCACACACTCAAAGGTTAAGGGGCACTTCTTCAAAACCATGTCTCCTCAGGTAGAGCAGGTGCCTGGAGGGTGGTGCAACAGGGAGAGGAAGGGGAGGACAGAGCTATTCACCTGAGTTGGTACCCACTGAACCTGGCCAGCCTCCCACAGTGGAACTGGTAGCACTGCCATCTCTCTGCCTGGCTCAAATATCTGGAAATCACAGACTGCTTCTCACCCATCTCTGTATCTCCAGAGCCTAGCCCAATGCAGTCAGAGCCCAGTGAGTGTTTTGCTGGATGAATGAATGAATGAATGAATGATTAATGAATGGGCTTCTCTGGACTGTGTTTCAGCTGCCCAGCCACCTCACATGAACTCCACTGTTGCTCCCTGTTGCCAGGCACCTCCAAAGGCTGCCTGGTTTCTACCTGCCCATCTCCTCTGCAGACCACCTTTTCCTCCTTCGGGAGGGGTCACTACGCAGGCACCTGATCCTGCACTCCTGGTTGGCTTCTCTCTATGTTGAACTCTGCTCCTGTGGCCCTGGCCCTCCTTCTCCTCCTATTCCCTCACTCTTCATCTTCAAGCTGAGTCCCATGATGCCCTCCTGCCCCGCCCCCCTTACTCACCACTATTGCCCCCGGGCTATGTGCGTGCCATCTTCAGGTGAACAGCTCTGCCCACCACCTCTTCTCTCTGTGGTACCCCCCCTCCAGGCACCCTCTCCACCTGTAAGGATGTGGTCTTTAACAAGTGCCTGTTGGCCGGGCACAGTGTCTCATGCCTGTAATCCCAGCACTTTGGGAGGCTGAGGCGGGTGGATTACCTGAGGTCAGGAGTTCAAGACCAGCCTGGCCAATATGGTGAAACCCTGTCTCTACTAAAAACACAAAAATTAGCCAGGTGTGGTGGAGCGTACCTATAATCCCAGCTACTCAGGAGGCTGAGGCAGGAGAATCACTTGAACCCAGGAGGCAGAGTTTGCAGTGAGCTGAGATCAGCCTGCAGCCGAAATCTCTTTCGAGATGGAACAATACTCCATCTAAAAGAAAAAAAAAAGAAAAAAAAAAAAAGAAAGAAAAAGAAAGAAAGAAAGAGAAAGAAAGAAAGAGCCTCTTAACCTTTGACTGTGTGTGTGTGTGTGTGTGTGTGTGTGTGTGTATGTGTGTGTGGCAGGTGGGGACAGGCAGGAAGGAAGGGAGAGTTCACAAGACCCTGGGGCTGGTCCTGGGTCTCAGTGGGGCCTTGAGGAAGAAGCAGGTGAGCTGGCTCCCCTCACCTCCCATGCAGGGAGGTGGCAGGGAGTGAGGTGGACACTTACCATTCATGTCAGACTTACAATGTACAGTCAGGCCCCCTGCTCCAGGCTTGGGTTCCTGGACAGACCATAGACTTAGCCTATATTGACACCCCGGGGAGACGGCAGAAGCCCTGAGACCCATGGGTTGCTCCAGGCTTGGGTTCCTGGACAGACCATAGACTTAGCCTATATTGACACCCAGGGGAGAGGGCAGAAGCGCTGAGACCCATGGGTAAATATCGGGTGATGTGGTTTGAATCAGTGTCCCTACCCAAATCCCATGGGTAAATATTGGGTGATATGGTTTGAATCAGTGTCCCTACCCAAATCCCATGGTAAATATCAGGTGATGTGGTTTGAATCAGTGTCCCTACCCAAATCCCATGGGTAAATATCGGGTGATATGGTTTGAATCAGTGTCCCTACCCAAATCCCATGGGTAAATATTGGGTGATGTGGTTTGAATCGGTGTCCCCACGCAAATCCCAGGTTGAAATGTAATCCCCAGTGCTGGAGGTGGAGCCTGGTGGGAGGTGACTGAATCATGGGGGTGGATTCTCATGAATGGGTTAACACCATCCCCCTGGGTGCTGTTCTTGAGACAGTGAGTGAGTTCTAGTGAGATACGGTTTTTAAAAGTGTGTGACACATCCCTGTTCTCTCTCTGGGTCCTGCACCTACCATGTAAGATGCCTGCTCCCACTTTGGCTTCCACCATGAGTAAAAGCTCCCTGAGGACTCCCCGGAAGCAGATGCCGCCATGCTTCCTGTACAGCCTGCAGGACCATGAGCCAATTCAACCTCTTGTCTTTATAAATTACCCAGGCTCAGGTATTTATTTATAGCAGTGCAAAAACAAATACACCAGAGCAGTGGCAAGGTGAATGCAAGTGCCCTCTAGGGAGGTAGATGGGGTTGGTGGGGAGGAGGCTGGATGAGGGTGAATAGGAGAGAGGGGACTGCCTTGTTCAATTGGTACAGGAATGGAAGAACTGTTCATTACCTAATCACCACCTCCCTTCCAGGTGTGCAGTCCTCTCCTCTGCATGAGGACCTCACTTCTGGAACCAGGGCCTGGTCCACTTGACAGATCTGCCAGCACCAGTGGTCACCACAGTGCTGCTCTAGTCCCTGGTGTGAGTTTCCTGCAACTGCGGTAACACAGTCTTACACACAAAGTGTGTAAAAAACA